AAGTATAGAATTGTCACTTAAGGAATTCATCTTATACATCGTGTGCAGATGTAAAGGGAGGGAAGGAGAGCAAGTAAATACATCAAACTCCCACTAATTAAGCAGGAGGAGGTGCAGAGCGAATTATCTTTCTAGCTGCTGCTCTCTCTAATGCTTTCAACCGGTTAGCTTCCATTAGAGCCTTTTGTTCTTCTGAAATTCTGTTATTATCGGAAACAGCATTACTGCTTTCCACATGCGGAGGCATATGAGTTTCCTGACCAAGATAAGAAATCAAAAAAGTTAAAATAATATGAAAATTTTCAGTAAATGGAGTTGGGGGGATAAAAATCAAGATTTTGCTGAAACGGGCCATTCTTATCTATTTTCACGACTTGATTTTCAAGATAGTGACTGTACTTGAACACATATTATTACACTGGATCTGAAGCTCAACTACACACAACGAGTAACTGATAAACCAGATCAACTTTGCCAAAAAAAAGAAAGAAATAAAGGAAAAAGAACTTTACATGATTATTGTTTCATTAGCTATATTCTAGAGCAGAACAAAGACCGTCTACTATTTTAACCAAACATGAAGACCTATCGCGATCCATATTTGCAGTTGCTAGTGTCCATGCTTTTACACGGTATAGATAGCTATAACTGAAGAATTAATTGTGCTTCCAGTCAAGACGACAGCAGATGTATAAATTAAAGAATTTTGCAATGATGCGTTTCACATTGTCTGTTTGTTCCTTCCAATTCCTCCAGCTATTAATTACTGAGTACTTCTAAATTTAAAATGATAATACACAGGTGCCTACTAGAATACAACATCCTTCTGGTTATGCAATCTGTTGTAATTTCTTATTTTATTATTTCAAACATATTATTTTATTTTGACAAGAAAGCTTAAGAGATTAAATATTTAAACCAGGACCAAAGTACAAAACTGGCCATTGACCTAGGCTGTTTATGAAAATTATTTTTTTTCTCATGCAAACTGATCATTAGAAATTCTTCTGCATTAACACTTTTTCCTTATTCTTCTTTAAGTAAATAATGACAACACTAGCAACTCTCACTAACTTCAATTTCTTCAACCTTACATCAAAAAGCATACGCGTAAGAAATGTAACTGTTGTTTTGCACCCAAGTAAACGAACAAATGATACACAAGGAAATAAACAACTTACTTGAGTGACCTTTTCCCAGTCGTCTTGGGGTGCATCTTCATGAAAAGTATTATTCTCTTCTTCCCTTGGGAAATCGTTTTCCTGGAAATTACTTTGCATGTCTGCGCCACCTGGTGCATCAGCAGATGCAGATATTACCAAATAAACAAGGATAAGAAACATTTGGGTGGAAACTCTAAGTTTACACAGATGAAATTTGAAGAGGATGAGATAAAGATGATGGTAATAATAATAATAATAATAATAATAATAATAATAATAATAAAATGATTCACAATGAGGACAATGATGATGGTGATGGGTTTGAAAAGTAAGAGAAAAGAAAGGGATGGTGCGATGGGCATAGGGTTAGTGAGAGAAGAAAGTAGAGCTTTTGGTTGCCTTTCGTCCTTTTCATGAGTATTTGAGCCGAAGATCACAGAGCTCAAAAGGTACCTCTCTAGCTATGCCACCAAAAGAACACAAAAATTAAGCACACAAATTACTACTACTTGCAGTTAAAAAATATCCTACGATCATTTTTTTTTTAAAAGAATGACCAACATGCTCTGGCAGCTATTATTTCATCACAAACATTTTGTAATTATTACCAGTGACATATTGTGGACTAGGACATGGAAATGTGGTTCTTTGTAGGAACGTGACTAGAATTTATTAGATGAACTTCATCCACGGTGTTTTACTGGTCAACTACCGCACTACTACTTTGTAATTATCATGACACCGCCATATATCACAGGTAGTTGATGCATAACTTTATTATATATACTGATTACAAAGAACAGTAACCTATATCATATGTATATAAAGTAAATAAATGTTATAAAAGATACTGACTTTATTTCATAAGAGAAGAATCATTGAAGTATTAAAAATGGACAGTCCATATGCACAAGTATTTGTAATAGTGTGCAATGTGACAATAGAGTAAGTCTTGACACCAGTAGAGAGACGAATAAGAACGGCAATTTATCACATGAATTTCATAACAAAGATGTGACTAAGAAATTTAGACACCACAATTAGGACTAAGCATGTTGGACCAGATTTGTCATTTATACTTGTATGATGACTTTTCTGGATGTGACATGCATCTATTTACAGAAAGTAAAAAGTATTTGATTCAAAGGAAAGAGTAAAACTGAAAGGCAGTCTGCATGGATTCAAATCAGTTACCAAATCAAAATATTGAAGAAGGAAAAGACAATTAAGTATTGCTAAAAGGATACAATAGTAGAAGTCCCAACAACTCTCTTTCTGAAAGCTTAAGCACCACTGGGAAAACCATAATAACAAAGTTCCAAATTTTTTGAGCAAAATTTAAATGACATTTTATTGATTATTCAGCATTCTCTTTCAGTATAAAAGTAATAAGAAGACCCAAACTATTCTCTGTTTGGGACAAAAAAAGCAATATACAAAAAAGTATTAAGTATTTGCTAGGTTATCAGATATGATATACCTTCATCGACTGAATTTTGTTGAACTCGTGGCTCGTGGAGATTCATCGGGTCTACACCATCAGCAATTCTCTCACGTAGCTCTCTTAGACAGACCTACTTAGACAAATGCAAAATAGAAAACATTATCATCCAGAGGGAACAAAGATAGAAGCTGATAAATGAAATTATATGGTTTATAAAAGTTATTTAACTGACAACAAGTAACTATTAGCATTAGGAATTTCAATAAATTTAGTTTCCATACATGATTTTTTGCTGGTGTAAGAGCTTTTCCATTTATGTTTGATGCATGTTATACCAAATTACCTAACTTAAATTGGTATACTGAAAGTCTGTGTTTTTCTTTTTTCTCTAAGACAATAGGATTTAAGCTATCATGATTTTGAAATGATCAAATAAGTTTGTCCCTAAATAGACCCAATAACGACAAAAAAAATGTACAATCAAATAAAAATTTAAGGCCTAGATGCCCAACACTCAACTCAAGAGCAAAGGCTACGTACTTCCTGAACTTGATCTGACACCCTAACAAACTCAAGTCCAAGCATATTTTTTGGTTCAATAAAACTCAAAGCACATAAAAGAAGATCATTATTTTTGCCTTAATAAAACTCATTTACGCTTGTCGATGAACAATCTTTGCGTGTGACTGCCAACGATGCAGTAAGACTTCCTAAACACGTGTTACATTTATTTAATACACAAACCAAATCTTCACTCGGGACTCTTGATGATGCAGTGAGACTTTTGAACATGTGGTGGCGATTATTCATTATACGATATGCAAGGCAGAGAGAAGACAAGCAAAGAATATAGTGAAGATTTTGGCCTGCAAAGAAAAGCTAAATGATTGGCAGAATAATAGATTGAAAAGTAGGATGCTGAAAAGGTGAAGCTCTTTTGCAACAACATATAAGGTTAAATAAAATAAAAAATCAAAGTGAAAAGTATGAAAGTTGAAAAGTGCTTGAAGTGTTTCTTTGTTATTCATCTTTATGAAATGATAAATGACAATTTTAAACTATTTTTAGTTATTATGCTAATCTAGTGATAAAATAGCAGATAAGAGTAAGTTAAATTATTAGACATCTTTGCCCCTACAACAACAATATTGCCTTGCTCTGCACTACTGGGATGAAACTTGAAAGCACTTCATAAATCATAATCATAAAAGATCATAAAGAATACTACAAAAGCTCATGTTTAAGACTCTAATGAGACCGGTGGAAAGAGCAGGTCTTCCGGAATTTGGTACTATTCATGAATAAACTTAAAATATTACAAGCTCATGCTATGGTGAAGAATGAAAGTAAACAATGGTATATCGGGGCATTGATTATCAGGAAATACTTAAGATTTAAAATACTAAGGGCAAAGGCAATATAGATAAAATGAACAGAGCTACTTTGTCATTTAGTTGTGTCACACTAATGCAAACCTTTAGACCTCATATGTTTATCTGAATATTCCATGAACAGACGATGCCATCAAGACCCGTAACAAATTGATTCATGAAGAGAAGATAGCTTAATCCCAATATCTATCAGTGACCGCTTGAAAACGGTAAAAGCACAAAACTTTAGAACTTTAAAATAGTTCACAATAGAGATCTAGATTTATGATAATTTTGAGATTGTATAGTTATAGAAACTCATTAATAGCATAATATGGAGCCTAAAGAAATTCAAAGTATGATATAGCATTAAAATGGAAAACACATTCTCCATCGCACAAATCCGACTCACATTTAGAATAAATAATCTCAATGAACCCCAAGTTATGCAAACACATGATAAGTGTAGAATCGAAATGGCAGATATTACTTGCCTTAACCCGCTTGGCAGTGCCCACTTGTTCCACCTTACGTATGAACTGGCCGAAATCATAATAGGGAAGTAAACGTGAGTGCCAGTCAGCATACAAGCGAAGTAGGTTTCGCAGATCACTAACCTGTATTATTGAAGAAACAAAGTGCAAAGTTAAAAAGAATAGATGAGCTAAATACCCATAAAGACTAAGCTTTGTCACAGGGAAACGGACAAGGACACACGAAAACACCCAATAGCATAAACCACAATTCATCCACACTCGGAATTTTCAAAATAAAAAATAAAATGAGAAGGATTTAAGCTCAATAATTGGTTACCAATCGTTCTCAAAAATCGCATTCAAAAAGAAAAAAAGAAACGGAAATTATAAATAACAATATATCGAATCAAAAATAATGAAGGGGATTAGATAGATATTAGACCTCGCGACCTCGGCCACGGCACTTGAAGGCCTTGGGGAAATAGCGGAGAATGTAACCAATGCCAGTGGTCTCAGAGAGGAGCAGATCTGGAGTCAGCTTCGGCCTGCTTCGTCTCTGCTTCGGCTTGGGCTTCTCGATGGGATTACTACTGCTACTGTTGAGCCTTTGGGCAAATGTTTTTGTGGGATTACCATTGCTACTAGTGTTAATATTGGGATTGGAAGGGCAGTCGCGAGACCAGTGGCCTGGCCGCCCGCACTTGTAGCAGCCAGTAGGAGCTGCGCTGCCTCCCTTATCCATCGTTCTTCCGTCGTCTTCGTCTGTGAATGATTGTCGAGTTTGATTAGGGCTGCCTTTTCTTATTAGTCGTTTGGCGGGAAGCACTAAGCGGGAAAATTAGATTTTTTTTTTTATTTTTTTTTTTTTTCAGTTGGAATTTTTGAAAGGGTAGGTAGCGGGCGGCCCAGACATGGTCATAGGTCACCCGGCTCATTGACCTGACCCAAAATCGGTTCAAACTTGGCCCAAAATCGACTTTTCAGTTTGCTTGTTTGTGTTAGTTAGTTGGTTAGCTGTTAATGTCTTGTATCTTGATAGATTTGCAGAAGAAGTTGCCAATTCAATTTAAATTGCCCAATGCATTCCAACATTTTGCATTATCTTGAAAGGGTTGCCGAATTTGTGCTAAAAATTAATAACTAATCTCGACTATAAATTCTCGTTGTACGAGTCTCACAATATCTCCGAAAGCAACTAAACTAAACACGACTCCTCTTCAACCTATCTATCAAATCATGAATTTCTTGTCATCGGCATTAATATTCTCACTGGCCGTCCTCCTCCCGGCAGTAGTCTCCGGCGACTGCACTTGCGATCTCGAGGGAGACCAAGCAAGCGGCGGGAGCAAAGGCATCACCCGCAAATACAAAATTGCCGCTCTTGCAGCCATCATTGCCGCTGGCGCTGCCGGCGTCTGCCTCCCGATGGTGGGGAAGACGGTGGATGCCTTGAGCTCGGAGAAGAGCTTTTTCTTCGTGCTGAAAGCATTCGCCGCAAGTGTGATTCTTTCGACGGGGTTCATACACGTGTTGCCTGACGCTTTCGAGAGCCTAACTTCGTCGTGCCTCGGCGACCGGCCGTGGGACAAATTGCCGTTCATGGGGTTCGTGGCCATGGTGGCAGCCATCGAGACGCTCGTGGTGGACACGTACGCGATGTCGTACTTCCGGCGGCTGGAAGCGGAGAAGAGGGCAGAGGGAGCCGAACTGTTGCCCGTTCACACGCACGGGGACCACGGCCACGTGCATGGAACGGTGTCGGGAGAACTCCTACGGCACCGTGTTATCACGCAGGGATACTCTGATTCAAAGTTCGGTGTACTATTATATATTTATGTTAAGTGATTATTATCTTATATTAGGTGTTAGAGCTCGGTATCGTAGTTCACTCGGTAATAATCAGGATAGTTTGTTGGGCGCCTCGCATAGCCCCAACACAATACGGCCCATCGGCCTCGGCGGATGTATCACGCAGGCTAAATTCAACTCCCAAGCTGTGGCTATACTGGAGATTGTACAAAACTGAGGGTTTGTTGAAGTAACTCAATTGCATAAGTTCAACCACACCAACCTTCAAGTATATCATGTTTTCACTTTTCAGAAACCAGAGATTTTACACACATTAAGCACCTAGATAAAAGGAAACTCTGTCCAATTTCACTTTATCTATTGTTTTTTTTAAAAAAAAAAATCAGTATGGAATTATTTCCTGCCCAAATCGGACATCTGAAACACCAAAATTTTAATCGACAGTTTACTATTCTAAATCAAAAGCGAAGAAACCAAATAAAATGTTAGTTCTGAAACTGAAATTGTGCACCGATGTTCCTGAAAAAAATCGGGCAGTTGTGGAGATGTCTGTTTTGAGGTACACCATGTTTGACGATAGACCACCCAAAATGCATAAAGGGAACTGATATCCATGAAGAGACTTGAAGGTTTGGCTTGTGGACCAAACATTCCTTTGTGTTCCACTCGTGACAGCCATATTTGCTAAAAGGGACGAAAAAGGCTGCCAGATTTGAGTACTTTAATTTCCTTGCTGGCAAATAACAAACTGGAAAAGCAACAAGCAAGCAAAGCAAGAATTACCTATTTTAATTTTCTTTTCCCCCTTCAGCTGACTTCGTGTATTAACTGATATCATGTAAAAATAGGGAACATAAAATAAAAATTTGAACTAAAATTACTAATGACAACCAAGTGAAAATGGTGGGTTGTTGATTATAACTTCAACTTATGAGCTAAAAGGCACAAATTTATTCATAATCAACAAAACTACACTTGCAAATCCTTGATTTCTCCCAACCCTGACCACAACTTCTCAACCACCAAGAATATTATCAAGAAAGAAAACAATATGTTCTCCTCAAGATCAATTTCTGCCCAAGGTGTGAATGGCAATGTTTTTCCCACAAGAACTCTGCCAATCTTAAAGCATCAGAGTTCTATTCACGAGAAGATTATATTTCAAAATTCATGACTATAATATGCTTAAATTAAGATCTAAATATGACTTGAAATGAATATGATAAGCTTACTGGCTTACAAACCTGCTATTATCATCTTCAACCAACTCTAATAAGGTAAAAATTTGAGGTCTACCAAAACAATAATAACCGTAGTAATCAATAGAAGTTTGGAAGAAGGCCAAGAAATATTGATTAAAGAATGTGGGTCATATCGGACTCCACCGTTAAAGCACAAAGAACTACAAGGACGAACAATGGATTTTTAACCGTTGATCAACTCATACACATATAGGCATGTGTGAATACGAGGTAACCCAATGGTAAAAAGTCAAGTATTAACAGTGTATTATGTTGCTTGTAGTAGTCCGTCAGTACACTTTGTCTGGGCCATTTAAATCATTGAATGCAGCACTGAGAGTCTGAGACAACAAAAGAAATCAATACAAAGGTCCATAAAATCCAAAAACATCAAAAGTAAATAAAATGCTCTCCCAAAAAAAGAAAAAAAAAAAAACCAGAATTGCCAAAAAAATCTGCTTGTTTTTTCCTCATCTTATTCAACTGCATCATCACTTTGAACACCTCAAAATCAAATCCCAAGAATAAAAATTTAATACACGTAAAAGCACATCACGTACGGATAAAAAAGGTAATGATAGCAATAAAAAATCATCACTTTTACGAGGGGAATGGTAATTCATGAAGAGACAGTGAACAAAAGAGCATATTTCTTAAAGATCATTTACAAAAGATTTCAAAGATTAATGCATTCACTTAATATCCACACCAAAGTCCAGGAAAGTTCATATTTCTATATTGCACCAGCACCGAAAATGGTCAATTCAAAAGATCATTTACAAAAGATTTCAAAGTTTTTATAATAGAAAGAAGGGACTGAAACCAAAATGGAGCATACTATGTAAAACACAAAGTTGCCAGTTAATGAAAATAAGATATTAGCAACATTCTCAAGGATGGGCTAGAGTAAGATACGGGGCATTATAAGAGACAACACTATCCTAATGTGTTGTGCTGCTAGAAACAAAACCACAGACTCCCGACAAGCACTCATTTACTTCAAAATATAGATAGATGATCACTTTCACACGTAAGGGTAGACTGCCAGACAAAAACTATCATCACAGATGGCGGTACGCTCCAACTCACACTTCACGAGATCATAGAGCCATAGGTAACCTTTCGAGTCCTGAAGAAATGTTTTATCATCCTTGTACAGGCCGACGACCCTGCTATAAACAACACCAGCATGATCATGAGGAGGAGTGACTTTGTATGTGGATTCATGGCACCACATGCCGTCAATCCGTACCCATATCTCAAAAATAAAAGGCGATGCTTCTGTACTACTTTTATGATAATCAAAAACAATAGCGGCCAGCAACCCATGAAACTCGGCAAGACAAACACAGTCAAGCCTTGGGACAATTTCGCTCTCCGGCATACGGATGAGATCACGAGGATACTCCTCATTAGCAAAGTCGAATGAAATAACACTAAGATCCTCCGTCTTGGTGGGATCCGCTGCTAGCCAATAATAAAAGCCATTGATGTAAATGTGAAGCGAAGGATGTTGCATGGTTTCGAGCTGCGGATCATGGGGATAAGGAATTTGCTTCCACGAACAAGTTTCGAGCGAGAACATCTCCGCGTGAGCTTCGTCGTCCGAACGGAAATGCTTGAACACGCGACATCTGACCACCTTATAGAGATAGTCCCCTGAATCTGATGCACAAGGATCAAACCCAATACCGTAACCCCACAAGGACGTGATAATCGGGCAAGGCATGCATGACACAGCCTCGAAAAAGGGAAGAGTTACGAGCATGTCGGTTTTAGGGTCCCACAAAAGCTCCAGCGGACTTCCAGGATATTGGGTGCACATCCACAGCATCCAAGTGGAGCAACTCGCTAGAACGTGATACTTGGCATACATACAAACGGGATCGTAGTTTTGCTCTACATTGAGTAGAGACAAGTTAGGAAGACTGTTCTCATCTTGTACCACTTTGAACATGTTGTTTTCCGTTGACAATACAAAGTAATCGCGGGTCCACTTGAGTAGACACTGTACCATAAGCATAAGATTATTATTGTTGTTGTTATTACTAGGCTTCTTCAAGTTGCGGCTAAGCGGCCGCTGAATAGCACTAGCAACGACGTTACTGGCACCAGACGAGAGATTTATCATCGAGGATTTGAGTTTGGAGTCGGCGTTGGCAACATATGGGGTGACATGCAGACCCAACAACTCAGCATGGATACCGAGCTTCTTCCAATCATGACTCTCAATGTCGTAAAGCACTAGGTCACAATCGGAGCTCCAAAGAAGCAGTTTATGTTTATTGTAGAGGCCCAATACGCAATGAGCACGTGCTGCAGCCGGGACATTCCATGAGGACTCTCGAGACCATTCGGGGGCCTTCCACACCCAAACCTCGAAAATAAAAGGCTTCATTTCATCAGCAGCAATAGCAATACTATTGCTTTCCACAGACAGCCATTCACCATACTCGAAAATAATTACAGCAAGCGACCCATCTATCTCAGAAAGAATATAATCGCCCCCTTCGAGCTTATCACTCCTGGGCATAGGGATTAGAGCAGGGGTAAACTCCTCCTTGGCAAAGTCGAAGGAAATAATTCCAGTAGGTCTAGCTCCCCAATAATAAACTCCATTGATGTGAAGAGATTCTCGTTGAACAGGTTCATAATGGGGTTCATGAGGATACGGAATTTCCTTCCACGAACCACTTTCGAGCGGCAACAGCTCAACGTAGATCTTCGTTTTCTGAGTATCATCGTCATCGTCATCGTCTTTGTAATCATAATCATCGTCTCTGGAGCGACATCTGACCACCTTATAGCCACCCCCTGATGGATCAAACCCGAATCCGTATGCCCAAATATCCGTCAAACGAGGAGAAGCCAAAGAAAAATACGGAAGGGCTTTCATCTCGTCGGCTGTGGGGTCCCAGAGGACGTCCCATGTATATTCAGCTTGTTTGGTACATGTCAACAGCATCCATGAGTCGCAAGTCGCTCGAACTTCATAATTGGCATTCCCAAAAATGGGACTGTAGTTCTCAGCTTTGAGCCGAGACAAGTTTGGAAATGGAAGATGATCATCGTCTTGCAGCACTTTGAACGAGTTGTTTTTGGTTGAGACTACTAAGCAATCGAGGGTTGCCTTGACATCCTGCTGCAGCACCCAGCCACCGAGGGGTGCCCCATAAATGACATGCTGCACCAAAAACATCAAATTGTCGTTGCAGGGAGCGTGGGGCTGAGCATTATCGGGAATTAGATTGGTGGTGTTCGAGACGATTCCCATATCTGCCATTTCCAAAAACCACTTTCAACTTTCTCAACTACTTTGGACTCCTACATTAAATCAATTATTCAGTGTTTTGCAAACTCTTTCTCAAATAGTCAAAGATTTAGCCATCAATACCTGAACTAGAGAGTAGCAGAGGGACGTAGTCACGTAGAAATTGAAGCGGGGCGAGGGCTAGGCGATTTGAAGAGCCAGATAACCGTGAGTGGCTGGTGGGCGGTGGCCGTTCTCGATTTGGATTTTGTCAGGGTTTTGTAGGATGAGTTCGTATCTTATATTTGTGTGGTATTTATAGTTTACGTCACAAACATTATTTGGTCATATGACTCTTGAGTCTTGACTAAAAATTAAAAATATTAATGTCACCATAATAAAATATAAAATAAAATAATACTTAATGAAAAATAGTATTAAAAATATAATGTCTATTTTACCCCGTCTCGTAATTGATCTTCACGTATTCATATCTTCATCACTAGTCACTTTGCTCCTGCATTTATTTTTTACTCCAATGAAATTTAATTAATATTTTAACTTATAATATATCAATAATCCCAAGTTCATGTTTTTTTTAAAACCCCTCCTCTTCTTCCCCCTCCAATCAACTCGAAACAGTTTAATCCTAAACTGGCCCGAAACCGCCTATTCATCGAACTGGCCATTACATGTTTCTGGGCCGGTTCAGGGATTCCAAACCTC